AAAGCCATCGGTTTTCGGTGTTCCCCCTGGGGCAGTGTGTCCCCTGGGGAGGAAGCACGGGCCTCTGCAGCCAGCCAGGGAGGCTGGGTGGGTGATGGCGGCACCACGGCCTCTTTCTTAGTTAACTGTTACCCGTCGGAGACGCCAGTGCTTCTCCACGCTTCACCGCTCGCCCAATAGTTTTACTCAGCATGGAGAAAAAATTAAAATAACTCCCTGAAGAAAACTACACATTTTATTTGAGAGAGAGGGTTTGAGAGAGAGGGGGGTGGAGAGAGGAGATGAGTTGATGCTGGGTGGGCTGACTGCTGTGTGCTAGTCGAGGAGACATTACACCTAACCTGGCCCGAGTGCAGTGTGAAGGGGAAGGGTGTAGCAATGGGCGCGCGCAGTTCAATAAACATTTGTTGCCTCCTACGTGCTAGGCAGGGGGCGAGGAAAGGCTCTTGGGTCTTAAAAAGTGACAGACGGGTAGCTTAGGCTGGGATGCAGAGAAGTCAGTCCTTATAATAAATCCAAGGAGCATCAGCATTAATAATTTCCCTCATGGCTGCTGGAGCAGCCTTCTAGCCCAGCTCCTGGACCCCACACCCCCAGTGTGGGGGGCCTAGGCTTGGCTCCAGGAAATCACCCCGTTGTGGGAGGCGGGAGAGGAAATGCAGTAAAGTTTTATGGACCCTTCCCACATTTGTTTCTCCTAGAAAGTACTTCCTCCCCCATCCCATCCCAGGAGCCTGGAGCTGAGCAGAGCGTGGGCCCAAGCCAGCCTCAGGCACCACCTGAATTATCTGCCTTTTCTCCTTCTCTTTACCCACCCTCCTCCTCCACACAAAATCCCAGAGACTGAGATAAATGATGGCAAACAGACACACGACTCAGGCACTGGTCTACGCAGCTCCTTTCCCAGCTAATTGTCCTGCATAGCCCTAGGCCCTAGAACGTGGGGGAGACAGTCTGAACATTTCCTGCCAGGCAGGTACACACTGCAGACTGCCCTCTCTGCTCCCCTCTCCCCCAATATCTTAGAAAGCTGAGACACACCTCCTCCAATTCCCCGCCACACCCCTTCAACCAAGCAGTACCACCCTTTCTGAGGAAACTTCTGGGACCAAATGGGCCCCTACGCTGAGGGCTCAACCTTCCCTCTACATCCAGCAAGGCCCCTTAGGGACCACCTAACCCTGGGAGAGATCTTCAGAGGCCCAGAAGGGCCTGAGTCTGAGCACTGCAGAGCCACCGGTCACTGCAGATTAGCTCTGGCATGCAGTGGGGGCCGTTGCCAGTCAGGGGCCTCAGATCCACAGCCAAGGTGGGAACAGGGTGAGGGGCCTGAAGGCTTTGGACAGCCACAGCATGGGAAAAGCCAGTACAGACTGCCAGAGTGCCTTCCCCTTCCCCCAGAAGCCCTTCTCAGAGCCAGGGATGAGGAAAGGAGCTCAATTTCACCTCCCTCTTCTCAGTAACCTCTAGAAGCTCCTAAAAATTCTTTTAAAGGAGAGGCTGAAAGACTGTGGGTCTCCCCCTACACCCCACAGCCCACATAGACACTTTTACCCAACATATGCCCCAAACAGAGAGGAGCCACTGCATCGGTAGTCCTGTTCTCTGTCTTTATTTGATATGACAAAATATAGTTTCAGGAAAGCCCTGGAGTCAATAAATAGTTGGATAACAGCGATGGGGCAGGAGGGCACAGAAAGTCATGGCAGGGACTAGTGGGCAGCCAGAAACCTCTAGGACCATTTGCTGGGGTCCAGTGGCAGGGGACCTCCGTTGGGATAGTTGAGCTCAATAGTTGAGCTAGTTAGTGTTCTGAGGCTGGGGGCCTGAGTGGGCATGCAGAGGGTGCAGGCTGGAGAGGTTCCCAGGCTTTGGGGTGGAGGGAGAAGGTTGGAAAGCTAGGGCAACCGAGGGGGCCCTAGGCCGCGGTTCAGTCATCCCCCCTTTTATATGCAAATCATCAAAAAATGAACATAGAGTTTAGTCGCTACAACGAAGCACCCCAAGTCTGCCGCGGGACTCCACCAGGCACAACCACTCTCTCGCCAGCCCGCAGCTGCCTGGCCAGCCTAAGCCGGGGAACAAAGGAGAGGGCGAGGCCGAAGTGTCGGGGCACCGGGTCTGCGGCACCCGCAGGGCCCACCTTAATTCCCGCGACCACACTGGGGCCGGGAGCCTGAGAGGCGGCCCAGGCCAGGTTCGTTCAGCACCAGCCCGTAGGCCACAGCCCTCTGGGGAACCCCTGCGGAGCTTGCCCTGGGACTTGGGTGCTGAGCAGAACTGAGGGGCGTCCGGGCAGCGCGGGCAGCCCTCTGGGGACCTGGGGTCGAGGGGATGCGGAATGTCAAGGGAAAGCGCTTTTGTCTGTGCGGCCTGGGAGCCTGTGCTCCGGCCCCGCCCGTGCCCCAAGATATACAGAGAGGAAAACCGAAAAGGAAAGGCGCAGGACCCGAGCGGGCTGGGGTGCTCTCTGCGGGCCTCCGCGCTGCCTCTAAAGAGCCTCTTTGCTTTTCATTTTGGAATCTTTCTTCCACTTCATCCTGCGGTTCTGGAACCAGATCTTGATCTGTCTCTCGTTGAGACACAAGTTGTTGGCGATCTCTATGCGCCTGCGGCGAGTGAGGTATCGGTTAAAGTGGAATTCTTTTTCCAGTTCCAGAGTCTGGTAGCGCGTGTAACTGGTTCGGGACCGCTTGCCGTCCGTCTCTGGAATATAAGCCCCCCAAGCCGGGAAGGGGTGAATAGCGTGCAGCGCCCCAGCGTCCCCACCCCAGCCCCAGGCCCCCACCCGCGGCCGGACGGAGAGGAGGCGAGCGGGGCAGCGCAGGCCCGGCGGGCCGCAGGCGGGCCCGGCCCAGCCCAGCCCCGGAGAGACGCCTCCGCCCAGGCAGGAAACTTTCCACCGCAGCCTTCACTCAGCAGCCGGAGGGGCTGAGGAGAGGGGGAGAGGGAGACCCAGGCTCGGACCGAACAATAAGCACCCTCGAGATCCGAGCACCGGGGACCCCCCTCCCGCCTCTCCCGAGTCGCTGGAATCCTCCGGAGCAGCAAGCGCCGGCCGAGCCGGCTCCGCAGGGGAGGGAGGGAGGGAGCCGCGGGGGGATCCCCGCTCTGGAGCCCCGCGCTCCTTACCCTTCAGATCCCTCTATTTTTTTAACTCCCTCCCTCTCCCCCAAAAATTGAATATTGCCTTTTATACACGTTTTGTTCCTATGATCCAATTATGTCGTCGTAAATTTGGGCGCACACAGCCTCTAAGCCTTTTAGTGGACAGTTTTACGAGCCATTGATGCCTGGATCGTAAAATTTATGGCCGCAGGTTTTTTTTCTTTATTTGCCCCGCATGGCCTATAAAACCCAGGCGGACCCGAGCGCGCAAAATGAAGTCCTAAAGTTTACCGTGGCTCATGTGCAGTTTGGTCATCCACGGGTAAATCTGTGGCGGGGCCGGTGGCTGGCTCAGTCCGGCGGGCTGCCCTGTCTGCGCCTGCTCCTCTTTGATCTCCCCACTGCTCTTAGCTCGCTCCTCCAGCGCTGGGCGAGCCGCCTTCTGACTGTACATCCCGGGGTTCAGAGGAGCCGCTTCATCTCTGCCCAGAGCGTGTCCCGGAGCGGCCGCGGCGCTGCAGGCGGGGCGGTCGGGGTGAGCCCGGGGGTTGGCAGCCATGTCTACCCCGTGGAGAGAGTTGGAAGGCGCAGGCGGTGGGAAAGTGATGCTTAAGTCCAATCCGCCGTAGCAGTACCTGGATGCCTGCACCTCTGAGGCCGATCCATAGTTCCCACAAGTTTGCATGTTATAGGCAGGGATATTGGGGCTCTGCTTATAGAATGAATTGGCTACGTAGGAGCTCATGGCGGGGAGGGCCCAAAAAAAATTTCTGCACCCTTTTTGATTAAGGGTGATTTGTGACTCTTTGAAGTTGAGGGGTTTTTTGTTCTCCAAAGTGCACAATTTATAGGTGGAGATATCTCTTTCTTTATCCTATGCGCTCTTCCCAAATAAGGGAGCCTTAAATAGAGTCACGTGACTCGAGCGGCCACTCATAAATTTGGCTTGATGACCTCCGGGAGGTTAGTGATGGAAGCCGGCGAAACGCGTCTTGATATGTTGGCAAAGCCCAACCAAGGGGGAGAGGGAGAGAGAGAGAGAAAGAGAAGGGGGAGAAAAAAAAAATGGTTCTTGGAATTGGGGGGTAGCCGGGACAACGAGCCCACAGCGACACCTGGTGTCTACTTGGAGGAATTGCAGCCTGGCGCGCTGGCTCGCCTTCAGGCTGCTGGATTTTCCACGCTATAGAGGAGAAGCTGGTTGTTGCTGCAACACACAGCCTTTTGAATTGCTTTTACCTTTAAGAAAAGATGAGGCCTCATTTAGGATGCACAGAGTGGTTTTTTGTAACGGATAGTTCTGTCCTTCCCACCCCCAGGGCCTTCCAATCTTCAAAAATGGCTGAAGGCAGGAGATTTAGGCAGGGGGATGCCTGCCCAGGTTGGAGATCCTAGGGGGTTTATCTCAGGTTTTTTAAACCAAGGTTCCAGGTCCCTCTCCTCGGAGGCCCCAAGGCCCTGCTACTGCTGAGGAGGTGCCCGTCAGCATGGGAAAGTGAACCCAGCCTCTGGAGAGGTAGACAGGATGCCCAGGAGGAGGGGTCCTGGGTGGACAGAAGTAGTTGGGGGGGTCATGAGGTTGAGAGTGCTGGGAACTCTGGGATGAGCCTGGAGATGAGGAGCCAGGGGGAGTTGAGTAGACCTCCTCACCATGCCAGGGACCCCAGAGTGGCAACAAGGCAATTTTCAAGTGTGTGTGTGTGTGTGTGTGTGTGTGTGTGTGTGTAGAACCAGACACAACGGGCTGGAGGACCGCTCTGCATCCCTGTGTATGACCCTCATGTGGTACCTATGTCAGATATTTTGGCTAGAACATAGATGTTAATTGAGGGCATGGAGAAGCAAGATTCAAGCCTCCACAAATCTTATAGAGCAGGGCAGAGGGAAAGGCCTATTTTGTGCCCTTTGGGGAAAAGGCCTCTCTGGACCAGGCTTTCCAGGGACCTGGATCCAGAATGTCCACAGGAGAACAATTTCTGAGCTATTTGGAGGCGCAGAAAGGACCTGGCTGGGGGTGGGGGGATGGAGGAGGTGGGCTGGGCAGGCGCCTGGGCAACCTTCACAGCCTGTGGCCAGGGGTTCCGCAGCCATTCGGCCCTTTCCGACCCCCCTGCCCTAGCCCCAAGTCTTATTCTTTCCTGCCTGCCTCTCCCCAGGAAATCTCCGCCCCTGCCAAGAGAGGCCCCCCTCCTGCCCCCCCCCCCCGCAGGCGGAGGCGCTGGCGGGGGCGCTGGCGGGGATCTGGAAGGTCTGGAAAACTCTGGCGGATTTTTTTCCCTCCGGGAGACCCCCTCACTACCTCACCTCCTAGGTCCACTCAGGTTTCTCTGGCTGGGCTCAGGGAGACAAGGCCTGAGCTGGAGAAGGGCTAGGGTCTGCTGCGATCCTCACCCGCCGAGTTGAAGGCGAGAAGAAAGAGTCAGGGGCCAGACTGGGGCTGGGGCTGAAAGGAAGAAGGAATTTTGTCCCAGCCACGTCAGGAGTCCCAGAGCAGGCGAGAGCTCAGTTTCCAGGCTTGCTTTTTCGCGATGTCCTTGAATCGCTCGGGCGGTCCCGAAGGGCTCCGTCCCGCGGTCTTCTCTCTCCCCTCGGCTCTCCGCCTCTGCCACGTTTCGCAACAGCCGGCCTGGCGCCGCCCGGGGGCTGCTCATGCGGGGCCCCCTCCTCACTCCGGGCGGTGCGCGGGGGTGAGCCCCGGGCCTGGATAATGCTTCTTTTCTGGCCTTGGGGGCTCAGGGTTCAGAAGCCGAGGACCCCAGACTGCCACAGGCAGGAAGAAAGGCCTGTGTGGGGTGGAGATCAACAGGACTCACCCGGGCTCTTCCCCCAACCCCCACCGAAATCCTTTGCGGCTTTTTTTGCGGGGTGAGTGTGTTGCTCCGCGCAGGGAACCCCGAGAGGCCTCCCAGCCCCCCAGCGCGATGGCCCGCAGAATGGGGAGGCCGGGGCTCTGCCGGCTCCCGGGAAAGGGAAAGGCGAGCGCAGGGGGCCGGGGGCTTGCAGGCGGCGGGCCGACGCGGAGCGCTTGAGCCGGCTCCAACTTCCACCCCAGGCCGCGGGGCGAGCGAATTAACAGAAATCCCGATATAAACTTTTAAAAATAATATCAGTTTTATTAAATATTCGAGAACGGATCCAGAGGTCGGATTTATACAGAAGGGTAACACGAGGGGATTTTTTTAATTTATTTTTTTTTCTTCTACTGGCTAAACAAACGTCATTCACTTTTTTTCTTTTTTGTAATTCCCTCATTTTTTTTTCCTTTTTAAGATGGGATTGGAACACGGACGGTGCTAAACATAAATATAAATACAGAGACCACAAATACATCTAAAAATATTCACACAGAAACGGTCACAGTTTGTAATATGCCATAATGACCCCCAGGATTCTTTAAATACAATTCGCCTGGGCTGGGCATTTGCTGGGGCAGAGGGGCCGGGCAGGGGCTGCGGGGAGGCCCTGGGGGTTGCTGTGGGGCCACGATGCGCCATCCTTGGGCCTCCCGCCCTCCCCGGCTGCCAGGCCGGGCCCTGAGGCCCCGGAGCGGAGGCCCGGGCCCGGGAGCCGGCTCTCTGCGCGGGGGTGGGGGGGGGGCCGAGGGGGTGGGAGGCCAAGTCCTCACTTGGAGGGAGATCCCTGGAGTCTGAGGCGAGGTTCAGGGACGGAGCCCCCAAGGCCTGGGCGGGGGAAGGGGCCTGCAGACAAGCCGAGAAGGAGCTAGCAGGGAGCAAGGAGAGAAGACGCGTGGTGAGAGAGAGTTTGTGCGGTAGGGAGAGGGTCCAGAGTTGACTTGCAGGTCCATATCTGACTCCCTAATTTTGTTTTAGGGAGTCAAAACACATCAATTGTGCCAGTGATAAATACAGAGTGTGTGATTAGGAGGGAGTTGGGGGGAGCGAGGGGGAAGGAGAGAGAGGGGAGGCAGGGACAGTCCTGGTCACTCTTTCTGCTTCTCCTCTTCTGTCTCTTCCCGCTTTTCCTCTTTTCCGCCCAGGCTGTCGGCCGCGGCCCCTCCGCCGCCCCCTGAGAGCGTGGACGTGAGATTAGATTCTTTTTTCCACTTCATCCGGCGATTCTGGAACCAGATTTTGATCTGTCGCTCGGTCAGGCAGAGCGCATTGGCGATCTCGATGCGCCGGCGCCGCGTTAGGTAGCGGTTGAAGTGAAATTCCTTCTCCAGTTCCAGGGTCTGGTACCGCGAGTAGATCTGGCGACCGCGCCTCCGGTCCGCTCCATAGCCGACCCCTAGAGACCCGGGCACAAAACACACTAAAAACAATCAGCAAGGCATCCTCCATAGATGATGTAGCCTAGCCAAGTCCTGACCCTTCCAACTTGGACAGCAGCTCAAGGGCCCCCTCGGGCTCCAGCCTTCTCCCCTTTGCCCTACCCCACCCCCACTGGGGGTACAGCCAGGATCCCAACTTCATTCAGTCTCCTCCATAGGTTGGTAGGTGTGCGTCCCCAAAGAACGGGGGGGGGCAGAACCAAGCAGAAAGCTGTAAGTCTAAAAGCTGGTTTTCGAAAAATCCCAAACACTGGGGATGAGGGCCCCATTTCTCAACGACTGGGCTCCCCCACCTCCCCAAGCACCCTAGCTCCTTGGAAACTTCTCCCCACTTCTCTGCCCGCTCCTCTCCCCCTCCCTTCTCCTCATCCTGACTCCTCGACTTTGGGGGGCTCCCCCACCCCTACCCCTCCCCTCCTCCCCTGCCCTGTTCCTGCCCCCTCAGCTCGTCCTGGAGCCCTCCAATCCGTCAGGGGCCGAGGGGGCCAGGCCCCTGTGAGCAAGCGGGAGGCGAGCAGAGGGGGCAGAAGAGGGGGCCCTGTCTCGGCGTCGGCGAGGAGACGAGCGTGATTGTTTTTATGGGGCCATAAAAAACTCTCTCCGCCCGTTCTTCTAGGGAAGCCGGTCATAAAGCCAGTTCAGTTTATTTAATTTATATCTCGGAGCTGTAAAACTCACCACTGTGCGAATTCATTCGCTGCATCCAGGGGTAAATCTGGATACTGGCTTTCTGGTCCTGGGGCGCAGTCCTGCCCTGCTCAGAACTAAAATCCTGAGCGATTGAGGTCTGTGTGTTATGTCCTAAGGTGTTTTGTCTGCAGTTTGAGAGCATGTCTTTCTCCTGGTAAAAGGAATTAGATCCATAGTCATACGGCCCCCGGCTGGAACTGAACACGACATTCTCCTGTGGCGAATAAAAGGGAGTCGAGTAGATCCGGTTCTGGGCAACGGCCGCTCCATAGGTCGAGAAATGCCTCACTGGATCATAGGCGGTGGAATTGAGGGCGACGTTGGGGAGGACGTCCTGGCCCCCGGCGAGGTGGCAGGATAAGGAAGGGTTAGTGAAGTAGGAATTCATCCCTTTGCCTTTACCTGGTCGGGCTATGATTTCTTTAATATTTATTTCTGTCTCCAGTTTGTAGTCGGAACTAGATGGTTATAGGGACGGCTCCAATCCAGGACAGACAAAATGACAAAGTCAGCTGATGCCCTTCCAGCCAATCGCAAGCCAGATGTCAAGAAGGGGGAAAAAAATCGCTTCTGCTTCTGTTGATTCCCTAGTTGAGACTAAGTGTGTGCTTTGAAAGTAACACTTGGATTTCTTTAAAAATATATATATGGGGGGAACTGATTTGGAGGTGAAGGAAGGGTGAATGTCCACGAGCAGGGCCTTGGGGCCCAGGGAAGCAGAGCTGCACTCCGGGAAAATCTCTCAGCCCCAGCCAACTTTGCTGTGCTGTGGCCAGAGCCAGGGCTGGAGAAATCCCTGTACTTTCAATCTGATTTCATCTTTTATATCTGCCCCATTCT